TTAATTAGAAAATGACATTGGGATAAGCCAAATTATTGCATTAAGATTTAACTAGTTAAGCTTTTAGCTGATGGGTTTTAATTTGCTTTTGTTTTATAACACGGCATTTTCAAAATGGCTCCTAGTTAGGCAGAGACAATAATTTGGATAAACTTTACCACAGTTGATAAGCTTCCCATCCCACTTGTCTTTCTATTTTTACAATAAGATTTAATTTGAGCTAATAAACTCTGTAATTATCCAAAATCAAACATGCTCCTTGAATTAATTTAAACGTAAATTTTCATTAAAGAAAGGAAGAAAAAGAAATACTTTTTTCATGGCATCAACTTAGAAAGGCCACCAGCCTATGGCAATTATAACAGTAAAAGATGCAAACATGATTCTCTTGTGACGTTACATTTTAAAAAGTAACATAATGCTCAATGTTTCTTAATATATTATTAAAATAATCCTTTATTTTCATACATTTTTACTAATCCACATTTGTTTAAGACGATAATGAGTTTGGATCCTAACTATACACGTCGAACGTAAAAGAGGGTGTTATAAGTTATATTTGTCCCACATCGCTAATTTGATATATTGTTATGATGTATATATGTGGTTGAATTCAAGGGCGAAAGGAACACAGGTGGAGTGTATATATATATATATATGAAATTAACTTATAAATTCATCAAATATATCAAATTAAATTTTTAGTTTTTACAAAAAAATCTCATAAATACATTTAATAAATTATACATATATTATTTAATTGTACAAAGAACAGAATGAGGAAAGTTTATTTTTTTTCATATATTTTATAAAACAAATATCATTTCTAAAATTTGTTTGTTAAATTAAACTATTGTCAATTGTTTTATGTTTCAATACTTATATATATATAAGAACTAGCTTAGAACCCATCGTCACGACCCCCTATTTAAATTGCAGATGCTCAGATGGAGAATTGAACCTGATACCATGTGTCTATCAACAGTATCTCTAACTCGTTCTAACCATCTAGACTACCCACGATAGATCATATAAAAATATTGAACTTAGGAAAAAAAATATAAATATCAAAAATATATATTTTGATGCATTGTTTTAAAGGGTCGAAACATAAAAGTGAAATTACAACAAAAGTTATAATATTTTACTATAAAAGTTAGATAAATATTTAAATATTTTATTAGTATAAATTTTATTATAGTTTAATTTGGAGGTATTGTTATTTGTGTTGGCTTAATAACTTGTTCATTAGTAAAATTTCTTGGTTTTGTTTAACACTCATTAAAGTATTATAAATTTGTTCCATATGATGAAACAACACAATCATAAATATATTAATTATAAAGAGCATTATAAATAAATATTCATATTTTTTTATAACTTATACCCAATATATTATTTATTATAAATTTATTTATAATTATATTATTAAATTTAATTAACGTCTTGACTCTTTTAGAACGAGCTTATGACTACATCCTAGTTGGATTTTTTTCTTTTATTGAGCTAGTATTTGAAAATGACTAATATTTAACCCATTAATCGTTAGGTGGATGTTTATTTTATTATTAAATTGGGCGCATGAAAAAAGAGCTAGGACACATGGTATCTTCATGTTCAATGCAAATATAATATAAATTTGGCTTTACACCCCATTGCTTCACGAGTCCTTATCACACAAGAAACACGTTTCAATTTGTAATTGTCATGTTCAGTATAATTCTCTGTAATGAAATCAGGTGAATTTGGAATTTGGAATTTGGAATTTGCAATTGGACGTGTGTTAAGTTGGGTGAGTATGACGACTCATAGAGGTTGTGGACACAGGATGAGACACTCTTCAGTAACACGTGGACGGCGTGCATAAAAAAAAATTAGAATGGTTTTAGAGTTTAGTTTTGAAAATCAAGTGGTTAATCATTGGGTTTAAGTTTTGTCTTAGACATGTGATTAAGACTTTAATGAGGTCAGGACACATATGTCATTGCCTATCCCCCTTTTGTTATTTAATAAGTTCTTTCAAGCATATCCTCTTTGCAACTTGAAAATTCTGAATCCTTATCATCCTTCAAGCAGCCGCATCATTTGTATTTTGTCTTGGATCCTCTCAATCTTCCACACTCTTCATTGTTTTTGCTTTTTTTTTTTTTAACTCTATAATAGACTCTATTAAAGAGTTAATTACTTTTTAACCCCACAGTTTCGATCAGTTACCATCTAGATTATTATTTCAAATACTAGGAAAATCCCTCCTTAATTTAACTAAAGTTTGTAAAATCTGGTAGTTAAAAATGAAATGAGAAAAATACCTCTAAAAGTAATTTTATAAATTTCATAAACTTAAACCATGGTTTGAATATAGTTGTTGTGCAGGATATCTGGAGCGGATAAATCCCCAATTGATATGCAAATATCTCGTGATATGAATCTCATAATCTAACCATGATCGTACAACTTATCGTTTAAACGAATTTGAGTTTGTCTCAAATTCAACTATGTAATTCACATTATATAAACCCAATTGTAATTTATTTATAGGAATGAAAAACTAGCTGCAAAAGGCAAACTCTTTGTAAAGTAAATTACTATTTCGATATATTCTATAACATAATAGTGGAAGTAGACCTTGCATTATGAGTAGTTGAATCACTTTCAAAAGGTTTTTGTTTTTTTGTTTTTTTTATGACCTGGGTGTCCGAACGCGAACCACTTTAAAAAGTCTCTTCTTGTTCTTTATTTTCTAAATTAATCCTTACACATTCATCATCATATTATTTTATCATTGATCCACCGAGATTACGCACATATCATACGTGATTCTAGCACTGTAAATCACGTACCTCTTATTGGTGTAAATATCTGCATTAAAAATAGTCTTTAAGAAAGATATACAAATTAAAAACTGTTTGACTAAACAAGCAATTAAATAAAAAGATTTTTAACATTATTGTTTTATGGTTATTTTTATCATTTTAGTTTAGTTAACTGTTTTAACTAATATCCGTTAGAACCAAAGGGACGGAGTTCCAAGTATTTAAAATGACAGGACCAATAATAAATAAACTGAAGTTACAGGGGTTTATAAAATACTTCTCTCCTCTATAGAATTAAAAAGTTAGTGATGATACTGTTTCCTTTAATTGATTCATTTAACAATATTTGGTTTCTGGTAAAAGTAACAGAATCGAATAAAATCAAATTACATGTAGTTGGAGGCATGAATTCTCTAGTAAATTAATTAATGAAAAATCGAAGGGTTGGGTTGGGTGAATATTTGATTTGGGAAATGGGTCATGGTGTGCTGCAACCACTGTCAAATTTAAGCGAAAGAGTAAGCTAGAATCTTTGTGGCATAGGCTAGTACAAAACCTTTCTGTCTTTACATCATTCCTTCTTCAAAATTAAGCATCTCCATTGACACCTCAATGTAATGTACGCCTGTACTCTGTACCTTTGCTTAGCTGTTTCTTTTTAACTAAACGACATTTCTTGCCCAATCCCTATTTACGTGAATACAATTGAGTACAGGTATGTAAGACAAAACTTTCCAAGTTTAATAAATGTAAATTTTTTTGGTTAACTAAGTTATTAGAGTCAGTTTACCGTACCTCGACTAATCCTTAAGAGAAGTTATCTCACAGTAATCCGTTGTTATGACCTCTTAGGTAAATTATGGACAAAGATACTTATTATCTTTGCACCCAACAGGGAAATTAAACCAGAATGTAAATTGAAGTTATGCACAACCCTCTTGGTTTGCTCTTATTGCTCAATACCCAATAAATGTATTTTACAAATGGGTTAAAAAAAAAAAAAAAAAAGAGGTTTGAGGTTTGATCATTAATGTTAGAGCATATAATTCTTCTCTAATTTCATTTATGCTAAATACATGTAGTATATATTGAAACTTATTGGGGTTGTATGGTTGTGACTAGTGAGATTTAAGAAGTTAATTATGAATAATATTAAATTCCATATTATTATTATTTTTCTATTTATTAATATATGTACGGTAAGTAATAAATGTGATATATTATTTAAAGAAATAAATTTTGCCACTAAATTAATTAACTTGATGATTTTAAATTTTCTTATAGTCACACACGAAAAGTATTAATTAATTATTTAATTTACTTTTGAAAAGGATTACCAAACATGCAATAAATGCCTTTAAAGTGTCTACATGGTAGCATGATTTGTATGTTAAATGTCAATTGAGAAACTAACACAGAAATTGAAGCCACTTAAATAGTTTTGACTCAATCAATATAAATGCTTTCTTCTTCTTCTTCTTATTCTCATTATTATTTTCAAACAGTTCAGTACATGCAATCTATACCATTATTTTTGGGATCTTGTCAATTTATTGTTTGAGGAAAAAAATAATAATTTATAATTCTATTAATCTTAAAATATCAAGATTAATATTTATTTTAATATTGAGTAAATAAAAAAATTAAAAATTAAAAAAAGAAAAAGAAAAAGAAAAAGAAAAAGAAAGACAGGAACACAATATACACCCAAGCACACCAACATATTCACTCCTCTTTTGACAAAATCCTCATTTAGCTTCTCTCTTATTAGTTGTGTTGTGTGCCGCCACTATTATATGCGCCTCCGCCATTCTCCACCACCTCACCACCACCATCGCCACCCCAGCAGCAACAGCAGCCTAGGGTTTCAACTCCTTTCACTTGTTTTTTCTCCTCTTCTTCGAGCTGGATTCTCTCTCTTTTCTCCGTCGTATCTCCATGCGCCGCTGGTTCAGCGGCTTCGTTGATTAGTCTTTTTTTTTTTCCTTTTCACTCTTAACCTCAGCCCCCCTCTCTCTCTCTCTCCCTCTCTCCCACTTGTTTAATTTCACGATCCTAAATCGCATCCAACTCAAAACCTAGGGTTTTATTTATTTATAGTTTTTAAAAGAAGGTCTACTCGTGTGGTATGGTTTTTAAATTAGGGATTGATTTGATTATTTTTTATTGAGAGTTTTGGTGATTTGGATGGCATTAGGAGATTTGATGGCGTCTAGGTTTTCACAATCCGCTGTCGTTTCAAACCACTTTGACGACTGCGGCTCCACGCAAGACGACGTCGATTTGCTTTCTCAGAGGAGAGATTCTGATACTGCAAGTAGTAGTTACGGCAATGGTACAGGCACATCAATTGCAACCACCACCGGGAACGGTGCCACCACCAGTATGGCTTACTTGCCTCAGACTATCGTTTTGTGTGAACTACGACACGATGCCTTTGAAGCTTCTACTCCCACCGGTCCATCTGATAATGGCCTTGTCTCCAAATGGCGGCCAAAGGACCGCGTAAGTCCTTGTTTTGAACTCGAATTTCTTGAATGTTGTTGTAAATTGTATTTACATTAGTTGATTTTGCTTGTCGGGTTTCTCTTTGTTCGTTATTTTGTTAAAAATTCTTAATGATTTGCCATTGTTCGTTTATTAGGATAGAATGAAGTAGCATCTGTAAGCGTTGGAGAAATCAATAGAGCTGGACTTGTTTGAATTGTAGTTGAAAAATTTGGGTTTGAAGTAGGTCTTATCATTATATATCTTGGTTAAGTTTGGCAGTTAACTTGCTGGTTGCTTAGGTGCTGAAGTGCCGTGTTTAACATTTTGGGCGTAGTGTTGGTACTTTACTGTTGCTGATTAAGATCTTTCTATTTTTGCATTTTTTTTGGAGTATATGGGACAAAGAGGGAAGAGAGTATAAAGATAAAATCTGACGTCTGAAAAAGTAATATAAAGAAGAGTTTATGCAAGCAATAAGGTGTTATTAACTCTGTGAATGTTGAGACTGTAATATTTCTGAATCAAGATAAGGATGGGAATGGTATTAAAAGAGCTTTAACCCCTGTGATTTAGTGCTTGAATGACTTTTTGAAATATAGGCCCATACCAATGTTAATTTTTTTAAATACTTATTGACCTAGATCTCGATTTTTTTAGTTCCTTATTCTAATGGTGTTTGTTGTTCTCTTACTTTGCTTTAAAAATTAGTGGACAATAATACTGCAATGGTGATTATTTAAGTTCGCTTGAGTTTATATATATAACAATATTTTAATGAGGATTAGGGTCTGGATTATGTGAATTTCGGTAGTACATATATGCACATCCATTTTCCTCACAAGTGATTCATTAAATTTAATTGGTAGTCATGATTGTATCATTCCAATAGCATTATGTGTTTGCCTGGTAAAAGTAGAGCTTAGGAACTCCTTTTTCTTTCTGATAGTATGACACTTGTCCCTGTAGCTCATCGTATTGTGGAAAATTGATACATGAAATGTGATTAGTTTCTCATGATTCTATCGTTTCAATATCATCATATGTCTGCTGGGTAAAATTGGAGCTTTGGAACTCCTTTTTTTTTCCTGTTAGTTTGACAGTTGCTCCTCTGTGTACTGTGACGACTTATTGATTTTCTTGTCACAAATGTATTTGAAGAATTAGTATAGCACCGTTAAGGGAACTTATTCTTGAGTGAAATATGTTTTTATCTGGTTACTTCATAAGGAGAGAATTTGTTGAAAGTGGGTGCACTTCTTTTTCTACTGTTGTTACAGTGCCAATAGAAAATTTTTCCTTTGCAGAAAATCATGATTTTTTTTTTAATTGGTTTTCATTAAGGACTTCTTCCCTTTTTTCTTTTTGGCAAACAATATAATGATTCACTACAAACATGCACACATCCATACTTTTATGTATACTATTAAAAGTGATGAGATGTCTGAAGTGTCTTGTGGTATTTCACTTGAAGTTTTTACTTGTTAGATAAAACAATCACTTTGAGTTGTTTTCTGAAATTCTCATGTTGTATATGGTACCAATGAATGTTATAATGGATGACATTTTGATATGGTTTTCAATTTCTTTTTTTTTTTTTTTTTTTTTTGGTTTTAATCTTGTGCAGATGAAGACAGGATGCGTAGCCCTAGTTTTATGTTTAAACATAAGTGTTGATCCACCGGATGTAATAAAGATATCTCCTTGTGCAAGAATGGAATGCTGGATAGGTGCATTTACAAACTGCTAATTCTTCTTAATTTCTTTAAATATTTTCCTGTGGATTAAATATGTGTATGTATATATATATATATGTATGTATATAGATACATATATTGTTTGCTTGTCTAACATACATAGATTTTAAGTACTTCCTAATCCATCTTCAATTTGCTGATGTTAATACTAATTAATCTGTCTTGCTTTTTATTTGCCTCCTTTTCTTGGTTTCTCTCTTTGTATGTGTGTGCAAGCGTGCAAGTGCAAATACACATTTCTTTATTTTATCTTATTTTTTATGTTTTATTTTTTTAATGTTATTGTATAATGGAACTCTTGACAGAATATTTCAATTTCAGTTATGTCTATTTTATTAACATTTTAGCATCGTACCTTCTGTATAAATTGTTTACTGATTCACTTGTTGGAAGACTGCTGCAAATTACTTGCATATGCTTAAACTGTTTTTCATTTGCTCAATATATTTTTTAGTTTCTTGAAATCATTCATTATTTGTTCTATAAGGTTAAGGTAACTAGTTATTGGATATTGCAATGTTAACACTATGCTGACTTTGAGAAAGTTACACTACTTTTACTGTTGCAACCAATTTGTAGTCAAATTCTTGCCCTTTTTGCCAGCCCGACGGCAACAAAATGAAGCTTAACAGAAAGTTGTTTTTTTCCTTCTTATGTTCAACTTCTTGTAGTTTAGAAATTACTTCTGTTCTCATTGGTAGCTCATCCCCCTATTGGCAGATCCGTTTTCTATGGCACCCCAAAAAGCACTTGAAACTATTGGAAAGAACTTGAGCTTACAGTATGAGAGGTGGCAACCCAAGGTGCTTTTACTTCTGACTATGCTTTATATTGCCATATTGAGTTTCTTAATAATATATATAACCATATTGAGTTCAGTTTCAATTTACCTTTTGAGATGTGAACAGGCTCGGTATAAAGTTCAGCTTGATCCTACGGTTGAGGAAGTAAAGAAACTTTGCAATACATGTCGTAGATATGCTAAATCTGAGAGGGTTTTGTTTCATTACAATGGGCACGGCGTGCCAAAACCAACTGCCAATGGTGAAATTTGGCTTTTCAATAAGGTTTTCCTTTTCATTGCTTTGGACCTTTCCTATGTTCATCTTTCCCCACATTTTTTGGCTTATTCTTTGCCTTCATTAATTGGTATATTTTGTCAGCAGAGTTATACACAGTATATCCCTTTGCGAATCAGTGATCTTGATTCCTGGTTGAAGACTCCATCCATATATGTTTTTGACTGCTCTGCTGCTGGGATGATTGTCAATGCATTTATAGCGGTATTGAATTCAGTAGTGTTTTTCTTTTCATTTGATTAGCATGATAATTTTTGCTGCCATGATTTAGGATTGATCTCTTTCTAAACTTTTTATTTAATTGGTGGATTGGATTTTCATAAAAGCTTCATGACTGGGGTGCATTGAACTACTCTGGATCTACAAGGGATTGCATTCTGCTTGCTGCCTGTGAAGCACATGAGACTCTTCCTCAGAGTGATGAGTTTCCTGCTGATGTGTTTACTTCTTGCCTCACCACACCGATCCCAATGGCATTAAGATGGTGAAACTTTTCTCTTTATCTGTTCCTTTTGTTTATTTTTCCAAGTTCTCTTTTTAGATAAAATGCTAAAATGCATTCTTAATTCTGTAAGTGTTTGGAATGAGAATCAACCATGACCATAAAAATGTTTTGTTGATAAAAATAATTTCCTTTTCTTTATGATTTTTTTTTTATTTGTTCCCTTTTTTCTCCTCTTCTCTGTAACAAGTAAACTGTCGTACTTGGGTTTATCATTGTTGTATAGTAACTTTTGTTTCTGTGAAGGCTTTTGTCATTCTGATATTTGTATCCTGTTATGTAGGTTCTGCAAACGTTCATTATTGCATGAGTCACTTGATTATTCTCTCATAGACAAAATTCCTGGCCGCCAGACTGATCGGAAAACACTTCTGGGGGAATTGAATTGGATTTTCACAGCAGTGACTGATACTATTGCCTGGAATGTTCTACCTCATGGTAGTTTATTAGATATTGATCTTTCATGGTGCACCTTTTGATTAACTGTTTATATACAATTCTTTTTGGTGATCTATGTAGCCAACGTTTAGCTTTTTACTGCAGATCTTTTTCAGAGATTGTTCAGACAAGATTTGTTAGTTGCCAGTCTGTTCAGAAATTTTTTACTTGCCGAGAGAATCATGCGTTCAGCAAATTGTTCTCCGATATCTCATCCCATGTTGCCACCAACCCATCAGCATCATATGTGGTACTACAATGGTCTTATTGCTAAATTAGGATTTTTTTCTATTTACAAACTCTTGTAATTGCGTTACTTTTGTGCACTGCAGGGATGCGTGGGACATGGCTGCTGAAATTTGCCTCTCTCAGCTTCCATCATTGGTTGAGGATCCTAATGCTGAATATCAGGTCTGTGTTTTTCCTTGAAATGGTGGTATGCTAATCCAAATTTCGTTCTTTGTCAAAATGATTAAGAAAAATAATGTTTCTTTTTCATCTCCTTTTTATGGTTAAAGTCTCTGAGTTAGATGGGATTGTTTTTTGTTTCAGTCAAGTCCTTTTTTCAGTGAACAGCTGACGGCTTTTGAGGTTTGGCTTGACCATGGATCTGAAAATAAAAAACCTCCAGAGCAGTTGCCTATTGTTCTTCAGGTATGACATTTCTTGGTCCGTGGTTTTGGGGCCATCACTTGGTCATCTCTTTTTAGAATGTGATAATCTAAGGATTTCTTGAATATAGGTTTACGTATTTTTTGGACTCATGTGTAGTCTTGTTTCTTTAGATTATAATGTCTATTTCCCTGTTTTACTAATAACTGGCCTAGTTTATGTTACATTAGTGGCTCACTGTTTTTCTTAGTTCTCATCATTGCTGTGTAGTATGGAATTTAAAAGAAAGATGTTATTATTAATGTATGTTGACTTTTTCATTAATGTATGTGATGTTGAAGCGATCATTGATATTTTGGTAATTTGTAATTGTGTTGATGAAGGTGCTTCCTGCTAACTATGTGCCCATAGCTGATTCTGGGAATAAACTGATAACCGTTTCTGTTTTTTTGTTTTCATGCCTGATGCTTTGCATAATCGTGGAATTTTGATTTCTTGGTGATTTTATATGTGTATGAGATATATTTTTTCCAATTCTTTGCATGGTAGGTTGGGACTGAGGTTGTTTTACAAAAACAGTTATCCTTTTTCTGTACTGGTTTTCTTATTGAATATACTTTTTTGGCATAAAACTACAATGACCAATCTATCGGCTATCCATGTTTCAGGTTTTACTTAGTCAATGCCATAGATTTCGGGCGCTCGTTCTTCTTGGAAGATTCCTTGACATGGGACCTTGGGCTGTTGACCTGGTTGGGTGTTTGTCACTTTTCTTTAAAATTATGTTTTCTTTGTTACTTTGTAAATGACCATAATTCAGTTCTCGGCTTTGGATTGTGTAGGCTTTGTCTGTTGGGATATTTCCGTATGTTCTGAAGTTGCTGCAAACAACAACACCTGAACTACGCCAAATTCTTGTATTCATATGGACAAAAATTCTTGCTCTGGATAAGGTATATTTAGGGGTTTTATACAAATTTTTGCTATGTGTGGTGTGAATGTTTGACAAAGATGTGTGCACATGCAGATATAGTGCATCCATAGTGTGGGAAGATACATCTACTGTTGGTGTTATAGTGCCTGTATGGTGTTTTCCCGTCACTGCAAGTAAAAATATTGTGATATAAGCATGTTTCCTACATGAATTAGGCTACATAATTTTTTCTACAATTTATTAATGATGAAGAGTGTAGGGGTATCAGCAAGCTGAGCCATGCAAGTGTTTGGTTAATTGAACTTGGCTCGGCATTCCCTTAGCCCATGTGTTTTCAAATGGCTGGTGGAATCGTATAGGGCCTTGTGTAATATGGGCTGATATTTCAAATTGAGTGTTGGTGACAAATTGTTGGTTTTGGCATCAAATGAAGGTGGTGATAGAAAATATTGAAGATAAAAGGCATCATTAACTCTTGTTAGAAAAGAGACATCTGTTTTGTATTATTGAGAGTTCACTATTAGAAGCTTTAACTTTCTACCGATTTTGAGAGATCAATAAACTGAGATTTATAAAACCTCTGTGTTTTGTTGAGAGTTCACTATTAGAATCATAAATAATCAAGCTTATCTTTATTAGCAGTGGATTCTATTTGGTTTACCTAATGTGTCATGTGATTGTTTGTTGATGCGTCAAGAACTAAGGCAGCTTTGCAAGCAGCCCACTTTACATGTTGGACTGGATGTAAAATGGCTTTAGCCAGCTCACTGTCTTTTAAAATCTCCCGTCTTTCTTGCTCCTGTTGCTGTCTGAATTTAAAACTGAACATGAATGGCAGAGAAGAAAAGAGAGTGAGATTTAACATAATAGAATTTCATGATTTTGTACCAGTAAGAAATGCCATGTAGTCTATTTTCCTTAGCCTCGTTTTGGCTTTCGCTCTGTTGTTTTGCTATCTTTCTTCAATGGCTACCATATATGTACTTTCTGATGGTAGTAATAATGAAATTCCTCTTTTTTTGGGATGACAGTCATGTCAGGTTGATCTTGTGAAGGATGGAGGTCATGCATATTTTATTAGGTTTCTTGATAGCATGGAAGCATATCCAGAACAGCGTGCCATGGCTGCATTTGTGTTGGCTGTCATTGTGGATGGGCATAGGCGGGGACAGGAAGCCTGTATGGGAGCTAATTTGATCCATGTGTGCCTGAAGCATCTTCAAGCTTCAACGCCAAATGATGCACAAACTGAACCCTTATTTCTTCAGTGGCTTTGTCTATGTCTGGGGAAGTTGTGGGAAGATTTTGCAGAGGCACAAACTATTGGTCTGCGGTTGGATGCCCCACGGATATATGCTCCTCTACTCTCTGAACCGCAACCAGAGGTTACCTTCTTTCTTTGTAGTACAGTTATCCTTAACTAGTTTATCATCTTTAGTTTGCATCTTAATTTCATATCTGAATTGTTGAAACCATTATATTTCAGGTTAGGGCCTCTGCTGTTTTCTCCTTAGGTACCCTGCTTGATATTGGGTTTGACTCGTGTAGAGATGGTGTTGAAGGAGATGAAGAATTTGATGATGATGAAAAAATTAGAGCTGAAATTAGTATTGTTAAAAGCCTTTTAAGCGTTGTTTCAGATGGAAGCCCACTTGTCAGAGCAGAGGTCGCTGTAGGTAAGTGATGTTCATAAAAAATATTCTTGTGGTTGGACTTTTAATTGATTCCAAGTTTTCTCTGTGTGCTGGGGGATTATGTAAACATAACTGAGTTGGTTTGTTCATGTCTCGACAGCTCTAGCACGCTTTGCCTTTGGCCACAAGCAGCATCTCAAGTCAATTGCTGCCGCATGTTGGAAACCTCAGTCTAGTTCTCCACTGAGTTCCTTACCTTCATTGGCTAATATAAAAGCTACAGGAAGTGGAAATATTGTTTCATCTCAAATTGGTCCATTGTCAAGAGTTGGCAATGATAACTCATCACTGGTCAGAGATGGAAGGGTCTCAACGAGCAGTCCTCTTGCTAATACTGGAATTATGCATGGATCCCCATTGTCTGATGATTCATCTCAACACTCTGATTCTGGAATCTTAAATGATGGCATCAGTAATGGGGTTGTTAATCATATAAGACCAAAACCACTAGACAATGAAATGTATTCACGGTGTGTATTGGCTATGTGTACTTTAGCTAAAGATCCTTCTCCACGCATAGCAAGCCTTGGGCGTCGAGTACTGTCCATTATAGGGATTGAGCAGGTGGTGGCAAAACCTGTTATGTCTGCAGTTAACAGTTTTCGTCCTGGTGAACCCACATCAGCATCTCCAACACCTCTTGCTGGACTTGCTCGTTCATCTTCTTGGTTTGATATGAATGCAGGTAAATTCTTCATCACCATTGTATTATTACTAGGGGTTATCTTTTGTTAACTCCAAAAGATGACTATAATAATTACTTTTTATTGTACTCAGTCCTTCCTGTTTATGTTTTGTTTCTACTTGGTGTCTGCTATCCTTGATGTCCTGTTTGGTTGTTTGTAGTTTCAAGATTATGAACTTATTTACTAATGTTGACAGGTCATTCTTTAAAGTTTAGAACTCCTCCTGTAAGCCCACCTCGGCAAAGTTACTTTGGGATGCGAAGAGTTTGCTCTTTAGAGTTCCGGCCTCACCTTATAAATTCTCCCGACTCAGGATTAGCTGATCCTCTTATAGGCCAGGGGGAATCTTCTGGGGTTTCAGAACGCAGTTTACTGCCTCATTCAACTATCTACAACTGGAGCTGTGGCCACTTCTCCAAGCCACTTCTTACAGCGGCAGATGATACTGAAGAAATGATTGTTAGAAGAGAAGAGAGGGAAAAATTTGCACTAGAACACATTGCAAAATGCCAGCGCTCTTGTAGGTCTTCTGAATTTTTTGTTTTATTTTTTAATTCAATATATGATGGTTTGCATGTGAAGAGCTAATTAACTTTTATTGTATTGACTAGCTGTTAGCAGGCTTAGCAATCCAATTGCTTGCTGGGATACGAGATTCGAAAATGGTGCCAAAACAGTCTTGTTGCAACCTTTTTCACCCATTGTGGTTGCTGCTGATGAGAATGAAACGATTAGGTGTGCTTGCTTCCTTCTATTTATTTTGTAATTAAGTTCTATGATGAACTTTTCCATTTTATGGTGAGGATAGTAAAATCTTGGGCTTCTTTACTGTTGGTAATTTCAGAATTTTGAGGAAATTTCCCTTATCTTTGTTCCTCATAGTTGGAACGTGGTTGTCTAATGATTTGAATTGAGTTTTTGTTACAGTCTGGGGACAATAATTGATTGGGGATTTAATATATTTATTTTATTTTATTTTGTTATTATTATTTTATTTTGTGAATATTATGATGTGTATGTGTGGCAATGAATATATATGTTGGATGCATCTATAAGACCACCATAGAATTGATTGATTTTACCACTTTGTTTTTGCCCTGAATGTTACTTAAAGGTTCATGATTTACATAAATTTGATTGCTGTTGCTTTATTAGATGTAATTATATGGATACTGATTTTCATGTAATTGCTCCATTAAAGCTTTTCTTGTGTACTAATTGTTTGGTGATTCTTTATTCTCAGGGTATGGAATTATGAGGGAGCTACCCTCCTCAATGGTTTTGATAATCATAGCTTTCCTGACAAAGGAATTTCTAAGCTCTGCCTTGTGAATGAACTTGATGATAGCCTGCTTCTTGTTGCTTCAAGTAATATTCTTTCCAGCCTTGTTGGATTAGTTGCCTTATGGCTTTCATAGTTTTTTTTATTGCATTGTTGTGTTTCACTATTATTCTAACTTTTACGCCTTTTTGACGTAGGCAATGGAAATATTCGGATTTGGAAAGACTATACTGTTAAGGATAGCCAGAAGCTGGTTACTGCGTTCTCTGCAATCCAAGGTCACAAACCTGGTGTGCGATATTTAAATGCTGTTGTTGACTGGCAACAGCAGTCTGGATATCTGGTACAGGTTCATTACACGTTGTAATATGTGAGGACTGTTTTAATGCTCATAACATTGAAACCATTTCATTTCTCTGATGTTAAATTGCTAGTATGCTTCTGGAGAGAGATCGTCCATTATGCTTTGGGACCTGGACAAAGAGCAGCTTGTCAATTCCATTCCTTTTTCACCAGATTGGAGCATCTCAGCTTTGGTGAGTTGTCATATTCCCACCCATGCCCTAGTTGTACAGTTAGAATAGCTGGACTCACTTATCCAGTCAATGAGGTTAAAGAATTTTTGCTTCTATGATAGTTCAGTAAATGGCTGAAGAGAACTAAGCAAGAACTTAATGGTCATTAGAAATTCTGGAAATATATTAAATTAAAAAAAGAAAAAACTGCTGCAACATTAAAAAACATCGAAATTTTTTCAGCTCTAGTATCTTTGTGATGCTTTCCTTCAGAAGAGTACTGGGTTTCACTGATTTTATCTTTGGTTGCAAAGATGATATGGTTTGTGAGATGAAACGTAATGTGTTCCTCAACAATTTTTGTCAGCTCTTAGTTGTTTTGGGTCCATTATCTGTTATTTTTTGCTGACATTTTTTTTTTTTTCTTTTGTAAATTTTTTACCCTTCAATTTTGCAGTCTGCTTCTCAAGTTCATGGGGGTCAAGTAGCGGCTGGTTTTTTGGATGGTGCTGTCCGACTCTATGATGTTCGAACGCCTCAAATGTAAGCATTTTGCATGGATTGTATTCTGAACAGGGTATTTAGAAAATGGATGTTTATTTAATTATGGGAAGACATCTTAATGTCTGTTAATATTCTTATTTGTGTGCTGAGACAGGCAGGTTGCTTGAGCAATTTGTACCATTTTGCTTTATTGTCAGAACCATGAAAATTTTATTTTGTAATTATACGTATTATGTTATTTTTCAAATGAAACTAGATTAGTAATAGACATGCTATCTTTGTTTAAGCCCCTTTTCTCTAACCATACAATCCTCTCTTGTTCATATTATCTGTTATTTTGATTGTTGTCTTAACCTTTGATTCTTAGGCTTGTCTGTACATCTCGGCCACATATTCGGCCACATACACAGCAAGTAGAAAGAGTTGTGGGTATCAGCTTTCAGCCTGGGCTTGATCCAGGAAAGGTAAATAGCACATCAAAGTTTTTACATCCCTTGTTCAGATGACTCTTTCTATGCCTTCCACTAATGTTATAACCATAACCATATCCTTGGTTCTTTGGATTTTAATTTCTCCTTTCCTTTTCTTCTTTTCTTTCAGATTGTCAGTGCATCTCAGGCTGGTGACATCGAATTTCTTGACTTCAGAAATAGCAGTGATACTTACCTCACAATCGACGCTCACAGGGGCTCACTGACAGCTTTAGCTGTACATAGACATGCTCCAATTGTTGCCAGTGGCTCAGCAAAACAATTAATCAAAGTTTTCAGTCTGGAGGGTGAACAACTAGGCTCCATTAGGTATCACCATCCTAGCTTCATGGCCCAGAAGATTGGTTCTGTAAGCTGCCTCACCTTCCATCCCTATCAAGTGCTGCTCGCTGCTGGTGCAGCAGATGCTTGTGTCTCTATTCATTCTTGATGACAGCTCAGAGCATATAGTGGATATCGGTTATACAAATCTGAATGGCAGCAAGGTCGTGTAAATGTCAGAATCACTCTTAATGGATTCAAGTCATCAGAAGGGAGATAATCTGCCACCTCAATCACCACTGCCTGTTGATAAATCTAGAGAATATTGGTTGGGCGAGTTCTAGTAAAATTGTATGCTATACATTCATTAGCCTCCGGTGTAGAGTCTAACATGTTCGAGTAACAAATCCGCATTAGGGGGCTTCGGCAAATAATTTGTTATATAGGTAAATGCGTGTAAATAGTTTTTTTTTTTTTTTGTCTACCATTTTGGGTGTGTCCATTGTTCCCTCCATCCCTTTGTCCAATTTGTAAAAACAGCACATTTCATTAATCATAACGTAAGTGTTGTAGACATGGTTGACCGTCCCCTGAAATGTGGGGCACTCGGCCTTGTCACATATCGTGTTAAATCTCTGATCAATTGGCCTTTTGGTAAAGATAATCTTAGAATACCAGAGTTGGATGCCTCTTTACTGTATTATGATCCAAGACAGAAAAGTTGAATTTCAACTTGGAAGCAACATTAGAGCAAGCCAGAAAGATGTTAATGGGATTAAAAAGTGGGCGTAACTATCAAAAGCAATCAACGGCAGAGAAGGGTGGTGAATTCGTGGACCAAAATGGCCATCACAATAAAAACTTGACTGAAAAAAGGGTAGAAATTGTGACCGTTAATCAATGCCAACAAAAACTATGACTGCTGATCTAAAGATCTTCAAATACATTCCGAAAAAAAAAAAAAAAAAATCACATCCATCGTATTCACATGAATATACCCAGCTGTTTATGTAAAAGCTGTACCACTAGCATATCATCACTTCCTTCCACCCACCATACCTTGGCCAGTTCCGTTCAAGCTAGGCGATGTGCTACTTTTCATCTTCAGCCTTCCATCAGCACTGCCAAGAACATTCAAATCTTCAAACAATCTATATGAGGGTATAAAGGGCTTCTGTGCTGCTGTAGTAGGTGCAGGGTTTCCAGAAGCAGACGTGGCCCGAGTGTCTCCAAGTGTAGCTGAACCATTGATCCCTCTTGTGGGGAATGAGTTATTTTGCTGCAAGGCTCTAGCCCCTTGCAAGGGTGTATATGACGCAGCTGTATTGGCTCGAGCAGTTGAGAACACATTATTGGTGGTTGAGAGGTGATTCTGGTTGTTAAAATAACCAGGGGTCGTAGCCCAAGGTGGCGGAGGGTAGCCAGATGCATATTGAGGATATTGAGGCTGTGACTGCATCTGGTATTGGGGTTGTACTTGTGGCTGTGGCTGTGGTTGAGGCCGAGGCTGAGGCTGAGGCTGAGCCCACGGGGCAACATAATTGTTGTAGGGTACCTGTCCTTGATTTCCCGGATAAGTTGGTGAAGCATAAGGATAACCTTGAGTGTTGGGGGAAGCAGGTATGTGCTGTGGGGTTTGGTTAGAGGCTGATGGCGTCTCGGGGGCCTGTGGAGTGGTTGATGTATTTGACAAGGTAATACTCAAAAGATCGATCATGTCCTGCTCTTTTGTAGTCCTCACAGGTGCAGGTGGATCACGCAGAGCCAAAGCATTGCAAGGGGTAGTAGCAGTTGAGTCTGTTGGCATTGATGAAGTTGTGTTGCTATTCTCCACCGGCACAAGTGCTCCAGCAGTTTCTGCAGATGAGCTCTGAGTTGGCACAGGCTGTGATTTGTAATGCCTACGCAGTACCAAAAAGATAAAAGAAAAATGATTATCTCAATTAAAACAACTAGTAAATCTGCAATGTCAACCTGCAGTGCAGAGTTATAAATTGTCAGCCCCTTATTATTATAATTATTTTTTTATTAAATAAACAAATGAAAATAGATAACAAGTAAATCTCCTAAACTAAGAGAGTAAACTTATGTTGAAACTAAGACCTCACTAAAATTTTCGGAAAGCAAGAAACTTGTAACCTTCTGCTAGCCAAGTGACTTTCTAGAAGACCTAATGGGACCAAACTACAAGCCTGAACACTTCACTAACCCCCCCTCTATGCCTGAATATACTTTTGAACACCAACATCTACTGAGCATCATCATACCTACTGATATTCACTTAGACAAGAATGATCTATTAATTCTACTGGGTAATTGCTCCCAGACAGGTCCTACAGGAATGATACTGCATCATACCACGTATACCAGTACTGTGTTATATATAACATCATATACCATTTGTAAGATTTTGGAGGAACAAAGAAAAGAAGAGAAAAGATGAACTGATTAATCTTGAACAACCTTCGTGCTAGCTGTGCAAAATCGTCTTCCTCTTCTTCCTCTTCATCGATTGGGGCCTTTGTCACAGTAGGAACTGGTGCAGGAGGGGTACCATTGGGTACTGGGCTGGAGTCACCAACTTCAGTTGATTTGAGGCTGGAGGAAGATACTTCAGTTGGTTTAGGACTTAAATTTGTTCCTTGAATAGGAAGAGGGGAACCAGATCCTTGAATTGGAAGAGGGGAACCAGATGCTATAGCATCATGTTTTGCAAGCAAGGTCTGCAGACTGTCATTTAATTCAAGACCACAACCAAGAAGTTCTTCATCGCTGTCAAATAGACAAGAAAAAAGTATTAGATAGCTACACATGGCGAAGGTCCTACCACTCATAGTGAGAGACGGAATTAAGGAAATGCCACAACCTCACATGATTACACACACTTCAGTGATTAAATCTAAGGATAATATGAAGAGCACCATGCAGAAAACTATTAAACCCTTGGGTGGAATAATTTGGTGAGAACTAACCTTGTTGTACTAAGCATCTGCATTAGCTTTTTTGAATTGGAACGACACTGATTGACAAGATCAACAATCACCTCATCTTTTACCGCCTACATGTAGTAGCCAGAAAACAGTTAAAAAAGATTTTACTCTGTAGTAGAATTTTGGAAATCCTCATTTTGCATACCTCACGGTCACCCGGGTTCACAGCTTGCAGCATGTCACCTAACAGTTCCATAACATCCCGCATTGAATCCAAGCTTGACAAACTAAATGGTTAAATAAAATATCAGCTACAAAGATATTTTAAGAACACACACTAAAAAAAAAAAAAAAAAAAAAAAAAAAAAAAAAAAAAAAAAAAAAAAAAAAAAAAAAAAAAAAACGCAGAACAGTACTTCGAGACGATTGCAAAGTACGGCAAACAAGGACAGGAGGGATCACAATAGGGTGAGTAAGCCAAAAAAATCCTGACCTTAAACTTTCCACTTCTGATGCCATGGTTTCATCAAGCCTTCTGGATGAACTGCTTGGCATTCCATAACCAGCTTGGGCAGGTCCAAGGGCGGGATGGGTAACAGGCGGGGTAAATATTGGAGCAGCATCTGGGGAACGCTGGGGAAATTGTACTCCAGAACGCTGCCATCATACAGGTCACAATTAATAAATTCCAGTTATAAGAATTCAATTGCTTCCTAATCATATAGTGATAGATGGAATGTCAGTATCCAGAATAAAGCAATCGTATCCTTCAGTGAAAGACAAAATTAGAGGTCAAAGTATCAAAGGTAATTGATACAACTGCATCATCTTTATCAACAAAGTATTTATCATTGTTGACAAAACCTTGAGAAGGAGCTGATCGAACCTAAAAATCCTCTCATCCCTAGGAAGTGAAAATCACAAGAGATTGAAATTGAATATAATAAGCTATATGCTTACCCTTAATTCCTCATATGCCCAGTAGTACTGAGGATGTTTTCCTCCGCTTCCACCAAATGCTTCCTGCCAAGAGTCTAACAAAACCAAGATTTTATCTCTCACTTGCATATCCGCCTGCAAAACACATCCAGATATGTGATTTAAAAACCCTAAACAGACATAGCTGCTACCATAAGAGACAGAAAGTTCCATGCAATAGATGATGGTAATAAACATAAGAACAGAGGGGGCTGGCACCAATGTGTCTCCCCAAAATCCAATTAAATTCCAAACACAAAACCCCCAAAAACACTACTGGAAATTTATCAAGTCATTTCCGCTAATTCAATGATTTCTTGAGGAACTTAAAACAACTCTTACAATCCTTCTAAAAGCAATCTCTATTCACTTCGTTCAAGTGGACAAAACTTAAAATAACCACCCCTACAAGGCCATGATGCAAGTTCTTACTTTCTGATTCTAAGGAACACCGAGGCTTATCACAGGTAAATAGAATAGTTGCTTCTCTTAAGGGCAGGGATTAATATCAGATTGCCTTCACATGGAGCAGTCAAAAAGGAAACAAGAGCACAAAGAATCCCATGAGCCTGATTTCTACACAACTTATCAACATCTTTTCCACAGTACTGAAAGATAGAGCTCAGCAATATCAAGTCCAAGCTCTTCATGATTGATAAGCAAATAAACAACAAAACTACAAGAAGAAAGGAGAGCAAACATGAAATAAAAAGCTGCAACCATGTAAATTATAGCTGCCATGCATTTCATGCTACAGTACAAGTGAATTAAAGAGTCACCTTCTTCCTCACAATTTTGACCATCTCCCCCAATACATTTCTCTCCGCAATTTGAAAATGAACAAAATCACCACAATTCTTCACCATCGTTTCTAACAGCTAGAAAATAGATGCAGCACACAGTTGATCAGTACTAATCCCAACTCCCGAACAGATGAGTTGAAACCCAAAACTAAAAAAAATAAAAATAAAAAAAATAAAAGCCCATAAAAAAGAGAAGAAAACAAAGGCTAAGCCAGTAAAGCTTAAAGGTTCCAAGTCAACAAATATGGAACAGTTGCTACAAAAATACCGTCAAAGCTAGAAGTTGCACTTTCCCGTTCTTGTGCTGTAACCTTTTCTTCACTGCTTTTACAACATCTTTTGCCTGCCTGAACAATTCAACAAATACTCATCAACAAACACACACACACACACAACACACACACACCACAAAAAAAAAAAAAAAAAAAACAGTTTGTATTGAAAGAAAAAACAGACATAAGCTAAAGGAATTATCTCCTTTTCCCGAACGCAAGGATACTTTACAGTGAAGCTTCATGTTTAAATAAAATAAAATCTACATAAACCGAAAAAAATTGTTCCTTCGATTATAATTACATGTTTCATCATGTAAATCCTCCAATTAAGCATAATTAAGAAAATCAAGAAAATTAAATAAACAACATAAGTCAACAAACAAAGTCATCAATAAGCTTTTAACATCAGTCTTCATCATCATAAAACAGTAAAAATTACAAAAACAAACAGCTGATAGAATCAAAATAAACAGCAGTACCATAATATCAACCGAAACAATATGTTTTCATTTTCAAATTTAATTAACAAAACCCTAGTTATAAAAAATTAAAATAAAATCAAAACCGTATGAATTATTTACCACTGATGAGAATTGATTGAATCACAGATATCGATGTTCATAGTCCAATCAGGACTTATTAAAAGCTCGCTCGTCGCCTTCTCCACAGCAACTGTAGCTGAAGACGAAGACGAAGATAAAGACGAAATCATTTTCTCTCTCTCTCTTCTCTTCTCCTCTCGTCAAAATTTCAGACATAATACAACACGAAAAGAAATTTTCCTCGTCTTTGTTTGGTTACTAAGAAAATCTCATCCAAAATACTCTCTCAATTTCCCGGAAAATACACCGTCATGATTGCTTGTTTCATCTTAGAATTCTCTATTATTTTTTCTCTCTCTCTCTCAAATTCTTTCTCCAATGTGTAGTTATTATTTATTTATTTAACTTGTAACTGATTCTCTCATTTATTTCTTTTGCGGAGACTTCGTTTTTTCGTACCTTTCTTTTTCCGTCATAATAATCCCAGTTTTAGCGTGCCCTTTTCAAAGCTTCAACCTCCACGCGCTCACTCAACACGTGATATCACGCACTAATGAATAATGATCACAGGTTGGGATAAGTTAGAAGTATCCACGTGGAGCGAGTATGTTAAATGTGTACTTGGAGGCAATTCATGTCTTTTGCTGCTTTTTAGTTTTGGTAATTAATAAATGAAAATTGAAATTTTAGTAAAAAGAAAATAATAATAATAAAAGGTGATAAAAAGTCGTAGTGGAATATGGAATTGAGTGGACAAAAAGATAATTAAAAGTCACAATCGGGGCCGGCATGGTCTGTTTTATTTGAGTGAGTTGCAGTTTTGTCATATGGGCCAAGCCTTTTACTAAGAAATTTATAGATATTGTCAACTTTTTTATTAAAATAAAATAAATAATAAAAACTTTATTATAGTAGAAGTACCGGTCTATACAAAACTGCTTCTCCTATTATTTTGACATTATTTGATAAGATTCCTTGTCTTGGTTCAACACAAAAACTTTAGATTTAATTATTTATTTTCAAAAAAATATATGAAGGTGGGACGAGTATATATTCGGGACAACATTTTATTGGACCAATTTATTAATAATAATATACATGTTTAACTTTATCTTTTATTAAGGTACTTAACTTTATACCTCAATATCATACATATTCCTTAAAAAATTTTATAGAGATATTTACAATATTTAAGTAATATGTTAATTAAATAGTTATGCTACATTCATTGGCGTAGCGAATATTTTTAATTGATGAGATCAAAAGATCTAAATTGATAAATGTACTATAAAATATAATAAAAAATAAACATCATCTTACCTTATAACATGGAGAAATTATGAGAGAAGTCAAAAGACGACAAAAAAATGAAAAAAATATATGGGTATTTTTGAATCCTAAAATCAATAAAATATGAGTAATTTTTAACAAAATTGTTAATTACTATAAAATATATACCTATTCTTCGTAATTTTAGAATTTTAATGGGGTCAAATAATATAAAAAAAATATATGGGTATTTTTGAATCCTAAGATGAATAAAATATGAGCAATTTTTAATAAAATTGTTAATTACTATATAATATATAACTATTTTTCGTAATTTTAGAATTTCAATGGGCTCAACTAATATCAATTTGTAAATTGATGGTATAAAAGAAATTCAAAGTGTAATTAGTTACTTATGGATGTTAATCTGATATTGATTGAGATTAGAAGGGAAGACACGTAGAGATACATTAATTGGAGTCAGCTTATCCAGTGTTATTAAATATTTGATTATGGTGATAATTAAAGGGCAGGAAAGATAACATGTGGTTTCTTAAAAATATTCCACCATTCAATACTGGACAACGATGGCTAGTAGTTGGAGCCGTAGAGCTTTGACTACTGACTAGAGCAATGTGACACTAATTAAAAAATTTAAATCTTAATTACTTAACTTAATCCACTTGTTTAATTGACATTGAAAACGACAACGTAAAACATTCTATTCATTCAATTGCCAGCTACCTTAATTAATGGACAATAGTAATTCCCATCACGCTTTGATTAGGAAAAAGTTTTCAGAAAAAAGAAGGAAAGAAGTGGATGGTTTAGAGGCATCCAAAGCTCTCTGATAGAGAGCAATGGCCATGCCGCGGCGCCATGGGCATTTTCAATGGCTGATGATGTTTCATGGGACTACAATCATTGTCCATTTACTGCAATTTGCAACAAAGGGCATTCATTTCTAAATCTATTTTTATTTTTTTAATCATGTTATGTAGGGTCCAAGGTGAATTATATTTGAACGTTTTTGTCGAAATAAGATTGAGTAAACGACTTTTTCCAACCCAAGGTTTACCTTAATGACACTTTTCCACCCAAAAAAATTTAAAATATTACATTTTCATCCAAAGTTAATATTCTATTACTATCCAAAGCCAATTTTAACGGCGAATATTCTCTCTGTCACTACCATTTAAACCTTTGTCTCCTCTTTACAAAACCCCTCTCACTCCAGCATCTGATTTTCCGTTGATTGTCAGCTACCTCAAAACTAGGGTTTATTGTTCTTAGATAATTTCCAGTTGATTCTAGTGGCGAATATTCAATCGGTCACTATCATTCGATCCACCGGCCTCCACTCTATAAAACCACTTTTACTGTGACTTTTGGTAACTCGTCGAAGGTCGGTTGAGAAAGTGAAATGTATTTTCGGTATTAACGGAATATAAGCTCTGGGTGGGAAAGTGTCATTAAGGAAAACCTTGGGTGGGAAAAAGTCATTTACTCAAATGATTTTACACGTGCATACAACAAACTAGAACAGAATAAAGCAGCAACATTCTACACCACAAGTATAAAATTTGATACTTATTCCTACAATAAAATTATACTCCATAACCAAGGATGGACAGGAAAATAGTCTACAAAGTAAGATGCATTTGACCAGCCAGGATAATCATCAAAACCACTCAAGTCACAATAATAAAAGCCTGAATTATAACAGTCATACGCGATAACATATATGTTAGGATAAGAGTTGGCGACTATCACACTGTGACCGACGCTAACATTTCGATATAAATGTTAATGTATGTCGTATCTAGACAGATGATAGATGAGTTTTCAAAGGTATTGTCCTCTTTGGGTCTACACGGTTTTGTCCTGAAAAGGGTGATGAGGGTATCCTTGTGTTATATAAACGATCAAGACCCTTGTACCCTCCTCTCTTAGAGGCGTCTTTTCAGAACAAAATTGTGCAGATCTTAAGATCGAAAGCAGAAAATATCTCTAGAACCCATCTACATATGTTTAGATCTGGCATACATCAACAATAAAGATATGATACATAATTTTTCTGTTGGATTATCAATTCTGGATCTCCTGCCTCCATGGCTTTTAATTTTGATTTTGACCGGCGTGATTAATCTCATCAAGAATCACAATTAGCGCAACAATGAATGCGTAATCAATGTTCGGATAAACTGTCACCATAAAGTTGTCCTTCTCCTTCCCAATCAAGACGCTTTCAGCTGTATGCTTCTTATGCATCTGCAGTATTTCCACAGTTACCAAAGACAATATATTACCATGTCAACATTAATACTGTGATTAATTAGTCTAATCAAAAGATTAAGCACCATTTAATAATACCTGAGCAATTATAGTGTCTGAATCACCGGCATAAATGACACAAGATCGATCAAGCCAGCTGCCTTTCACCTTAAAATCGCAAACCTCCTCTTTTGTATTACTTCCCAAAAACACGTCTAATTTAGTCTTGAGTTGCAGTATAGAAGATGTCTTAGCACTGAAAAGCAAATCCTCTGCCTCTGTGCTTTCTCCCTTAAAAACTTGCCATCTATAATGGGCCGTCATTACCTGCTTAAACATATTAATGCATAATTAAAAGGCTAATCCATTTCATTAATTACATGTTTTCATAACTAATGAGAGGGTAATTAAATTACCTTTTGTCTAAGAGTAGCAATGGGATTGCCCGCGCCATCAAGCAAGACTCGGCGCTGGTGAGAATGAAGGTTAAGAGGACGCCTTTAACTTTGAAAAGGATGTTGCTATTTGTGTCTGTGACAACAAAGTTGCCATCGGAACCACAACAGGGTTTTTAGCTGACGCTGCATCACTGCTTGGAACTTGATTGTGCCATGAGATATGCAGAAAGTATGGGACTGTGTACACTTTTGATTTCTTTCTTTGCTCTAATGAGACCTTTGAATATGCAAATTGTAAAAGAAGGTACAAAACAGAGGACTAAGTCATGAAGTAGAAGTCAAGTGAGGAGGATGTGTTAGGATCCACATCAGGATCTCACACCCACGAAGTGTGGTATTTAAGCCTAGGGGCTCTCCTATCAGATCAGTCTTTTGGGTTGGGCTTAAGTTCTAACATTGATGCTTTTCGTTGAGAGTTGGACTACGGAAAGAGTTACCTATTGGCTAGATTAAGGTGTTGTATGCTCTTCTTGAGAGGGGGTGCTAAATCAAATAACTGATAGGTAAGTGAGACCACCCAAAGGGGGAAAGGGCTACCATCGAGTCAATGTCAATAGAGTGAAAGCTGTCGTGGACATCGGCTCTTGAAAGTGGGTGCAATGTTAGGATCTTACATTAGGATCTCACACCCATCAAGTGTGGTATTTAAGCTTATGGGCTCTCCCATCTATCAGGCATGGACATTGGCTCCTGAAGGGGGGTGCAATATTAGGATCTTACATTGGGATCTCACGCCCATCAAGTGTGATACTTAAGCTTATAAGCTCTCCCATCTATCGGACCGATCTCTTGAGTTGGGCTCTCTCCTGGGCTGGAGTTCTAAAAGGATGAATACACCATTGAGTATTTAATGGACTACTGAACTGGATTTTTCTTATTGCTATCGTCAAGTAGTCAACCCCCTTGGTTGGTCGACCGAATCCGCCATTAATAAAAAAATTTAGACTGTTGACTAATGTTGTGCTTGCACTAGTTAAAGAATTAAGACTCCGGTTTGCCTTGGAAAATTACACTTTGTTTTGGCTAATTCAATGAAGTTCAGATTGATGGTTTTCAGATTTATATGAAGTTAATCCTAATTGTCAAAAGTTTTCAAACCCAAAACGTAGGACTCTGTTGTCTTCCTCTCCCAATTGGACTATAGCCTAATAGTTAGGTAAGATAAACCCACATGCAGCTTTTACGTTGCTTTAAAACTCAAATGGAGTCCCCATTTCAACAAAATTTGACATAAAAAAAATATTATCTAGAACAGTATCTATGTAAACCCTCGAACTGGCAGCAACCATCTTATTCATTAAAAGTACAGGGGATTCCAAATGTTACAAAGGCACATAAAGCCAGACAGAGTCTGAGATAAAACATCATATTATTTCTATTTATAGTAGCGATTATTTATGAGCTTCAACTTCTCACACGTCAACATCATCATCAGCGTTAATTGCATCGAGGATAACGATAAGGGCTACTATAAACGCATAATCAATGTTAGGATAAACTGTCACCATGAACTTGTCCTTTCCAACCAAGACGCTTCCCACAGTGTGCTTTTTGTGCATCTGCATTTCCAAAAATTCCCAGCAAAGATTAGTTTAAGTAATTAAACACTCTATATCTTCTTCAATTTGTTAAGGTAACAAAACCAAGCCACATCTTACTTGTGCAACAATGGTGGAAGACTCTCCAGCATAAACAACACAAGCTCGTTCCAGCCAGCTGCCTTTCACCTTAAAATCACAAACGTCCTCTTTAGTGTTACTAGCCAAGTACACATTCAAGGTTGTCTTAAGTTGGATCACTGAAGATCTCCCCACCGTAAAGAGGAGATCTTTGAAATCTGTGCTCTCTCCTCTAAAAACATGCCATTTTTCGTGTAAAGACATGATCTGCATAAGCCCAAAAAAAAAAAACGAATTGTTAAATAATACTTATATAAGATTCTTAGCTTTTCATAAAATTAAAGGGGAAAGAGCTAACTTTTCGTCTTATTGTGACAAGAGGATTTCCAGCACTATCGAGCAAGACCCGATTGTCATGAAGGCTTAAAACTTTGCCTTTCACTTTGAACAACATATTGCCATTGACGTCAGGACGGCAAAATTGCCATCACTAAGGGTCAGAACTTTTCTACAATTGAAAGATCCACAGGATAGGAGCACAAAACTGAGGGCCGATAACCGAAACAGGACTGGAAATGCATTTGGCGCTGGTGGAGCTGGTTGCAAGAGCGAACTCGGCTGTGCCATAGAGATGAAAAGTGGGAATCGCCTGTGCTAGGGAGATACATTAGATAGGATGTTTCTTATACAAAACGTGAAGGGCCGTCATTGGTAAGTGGGATGTGACATGCAGCAGGAATTTACCACACAATGAAGAAAATATCTGGAGGAAGTCTGAAAAGAAGAAATAGTTCTTATAATTTGTCCTGCATCAAATGATACAAAGATAGGTTGATCATTATCAATGTCTTAAAGCACTGAGAGATGGACCTCACCGAGTGCAGTCAGTGACAGGCACGAGTAAAGCAATGCCCACTAAGATGAGATTCGTCTGCTTCCAGAAGCAGAACCTTGTATAGTGGTGAGGTTGAAAAACGTGTAAGTAGTAAGACTTTGGGTTCGCCGGAAGTTGACATCCGATAATCTCCTCAGTGACCAATCTTACCAATCTCTTGAATATTATCCCACAGTTCTAATTGACATTGGACTACTAAGTTATTGAAACCCTTTTAAATTATTTATAATTGTATGATAATTTATTAATCATATTCTTATAATCTAGAACTTGGAATTTGTTAAACTTTCATGATTAAATAATAAATTGACCCAAAATTTTAAATTATTAAACAAGGTTTCATTAATATTTAAAACTAACTCAAAACAAGCAGCATATCTTATTACACGAGAATAATCACTTGATAGAAAATGAAAAATACAATTTGATGGGGATAATAAAATCAACATATCCTTTTCTAATCAATATCTTTGAGCTGACACCCTTAAGGGTCGATATGACATAAAGACTCTTGGGTGTATTACTTAAAGGTTCTAATTTGATTCTTCTTAGTTGTAATAAGGTGACATGAAAGATTTATTTTGGCATTAACTTCAGGATCTTGAAAGATTTTGTTCAGCTAATTTATAATTTTCAAGTTGTTTTTCTAATTCTCTGAAGCCTTTCTATAACTCGTCCGCTGATCAGTCCCCATTTCAACATAATCAGCCACTGTCTTCCAGTAATGTTCACAAAATTTATGGAAAAAGTGTGCACTCTTTGCTTAAAAAGTCTAAAAATTATGATCTAGAACAGAATCTATGTAAACCCTCAAAACTAGAATCAACCATCTTATTCATTAAAAGCAAACAAGAACAGAGTCTTGCATGAAACACCCATATTTTTTTCATTTATAGTAGCGATTATATCTCAACTTCTCAGTCATCATCACTGTTGATTGCATCGAGTAACGATAAGGGCTACTAAAATGCATAATCGACGTTAGGTAAACATGTCACATGAACTTTGTCCTTCCCCAACCAAGATGCCTCCCCACGAGCATTTTCTGCATCTGCATTTCCAAGATTTGGTTAAGTAAACACATTATCTCTTTAAGGAAACATAAACAAAAGCCGCCCTTACTGGGCAACAATTGTGGAAGACCTCCAGCACAAACAACACAACTTTTCCCGCCAGCTGCCTTGTGACCTTAAAATCACAAACATCATCTTTAGAGTTACTTGCTAAGCACACTTTCAAGGTTGTCTTAGCTGGATCACTGAAGATCGCCCCACTGTAAAGAGAAGTCTTTGAAATCTGTGCTATCTCTCTAAAAACATGCCATTTTTCGTGTAAAGAATTACTGCGAAACCAAAAAAAAAAAAAAAAAAAAAAAAAAAATCGGTAAATATGCCTCCATTTTGTTAATAGTACATTATTACTTCAATAAGATTTCTTACACTTCCAATATCAGTCAATAATAAAGGGAAAGAGTAACTTTCGTCTTATTGTTACTAAAGGATTTCCAGCACACATCGAGCAAGACCCGCTTGTCATGAAGGCTTAAAAGTTTGCCTTTCACTTTGAACAGATATTGCATTGATGTCAGTGACAGCAAAATTGCCATCACTAAGGGCGGAGCTTTTCTAACAATTGCAAGATCCAAGGATAAGGAGCACAAAACTGAGGGCCATAATCGAAACGGACTGGAATATGCATTTGGTGCTGGTGGAGTTGGGTGCAATTTAACTTGGCTGTGCCATGAGTGATAAAGTGGGAATAAAAAAAAAAAAAAAAAAAAAATCAAAGAGAAAGGCGTTGGATTGAGATCCTGGGATTGTGGAGAGAAGTTACGGAATTTTGGGCGGAGGTGAGAGAAATTCCCAAGGATATTATCGAAAGTGGGATAGAGAGAGAAACGAAAAAAAAAAAAAAAAGATTTAGAAATATTGGAGAAAGCACAAGAGGTTTAAAAGTTTCAATATATTTCTGCCTTTTTTTTTTATTTAGTTCATCTACGTTCTACAATTAGGGTTGAACTGTAGTGTTAAGAGAAAATTTAGCTGACTGAGAAAATTGGGAGAACTTGGCTGTGCCATGGAGATGAGAAAGTGGGGAATCGCCTGTCCTATATCAATGAAGAAACTACTTCGTGGAGACACGTTAGATATGAGTTTCTCAGAAGCGCCCTCTTAAGTTATTTTATAAGCACGGGTAATTACAAAATTAACAAGTAATTTTATCTTATTGCACTAAAATAATCTACTGATTATATGGAAGAAAAATACAATTTGATGGGGGAAATAATAAAATCAACAACCGTCACCAGCTGCAGTTGCACAAAGGAATTTTCCAGTTTGTAGGGATCCATGACTGCATTCTACAGACTTAATTGCATCAAGAATGTATCAAGAATCACAATAAGGGAAATGATAAATGCATAATCGATGTTAGGGTACGCTGTAACCGATGAAATTCAAGGGATGACATGGTGTTCTTCTGAGTTACTGGGACAAGAAAAGTAGAGGAGAAAGCAAATTAAAAGCACATATTTTTATTGATAACAAAATCTATGCAAACCCTGAAACTAGCAGCAGCAACCATCTTATTGATTAAAAGCTCATATTGATTTAATGAAAGTTACTAAAGGAGGGGATCCGAAATGTTGCAAAGACACGTCGAACCACACAAAACACTTGCATAAAACAGCAGATTATTCCATTGATAGCAAGCATTTTATAGCAGAACTTTTCAGTCAGCACCATCATCATCGTGAATCGCATCGAGGATAACGATAAGGGCTACTATAAATGCATAATCAATATTGGGATAAACTGTCACCATGAACCTGCCTTTGTCTCCCACAGAAAGCTTTTTGTGCATCTGAATTCCCAAAAATTGCCAACAACATTAGTTTATGTAAACACTCTTATGTCTTCTTCAATTTGTTAAGCAACGCAAAATCATCTTACTTGGGCAACAGTTGTGGAAGACTCTCCAGCATAAACAACACAAGCTCGTTCCAGCCAGTTGCCTTTGACTCTAAAATCACAAAAATCCTCTTTTGTGTTACTGGCCAAGTACACATCCAAGGTTTTCATAAGCTGCACCACTGAAGATTTACCGACGGTAAAGAGGTGGTCTTTAAAATCTCTGCTCTCTCCCCTAAAAACATACCATTTTTTGTGTAAAGAAATTATNTAAGACGTTGGGTTCCCCGGAAGTTGACATCCGATAATCTCCTCAGTGACCAATCCTATCAGATCTCTTGAATAATATACCCAACGATTCTAATTGACTATTGGACTACCTAACAGTGGTTATTGAAAATCCTTTTTAAATTATTTTATAATTGTATGATAATTTATTAATCTATATTCTTTATATAATCTAGAACTTGGAATTTGTTAAACTTTCATGATTAAATAATAAATTGACCCCAAATTTTAAATTATTAAACAAAGGTTTACATTAATATTTAAAACTAACTCATGAAACAAGCATCATATCTTATTACACGAGAATAATCACTTGATTAGAAAATAGAAAAATACAATTTGATGGGGAAATAATAAAATCAACATATCCTTTTTAATCAATATGCTTTGAGCTGAACACCCTTAAAAGGTAAGATAAGAAGATAAAGACTATTAGGTGTATTACTTAAAAGGTTCTAAATTTGATTCTTCTTAGTTGATAATAAGGATGATCATTGAAAGATTTATTTGGTCATTAACTTCAGGATCTTGAAAGATTTTGGTTAGCTCAATTTAGATAATTTTCAAGTTGTTTTTCTAATTCTCTGAAGCCTTTCTATAACTCGTCCGCTGATCAGTCCCCATTTCAACATAATCAGGCCACTGTCTTCCAGTAATGTTCACAAAATTTATGGAAAAAGTGGTCACTCTTTGCTTTAAAAGGTCATAAAAATTATGATCTAGAACAGAATCTATGTAAACCCTCAAAACTAGAATCAACCATCTTATTCATTAAAAGCAAACAAGAACAGAGTCTTGCATGAAACACCCATATTATTTCATTTATAGTAGCGATTATATCTCAACTTCTCAGTCATCATCACTGTTGATTGCATCGAGGATAACGATAAGGGCTACTATAAATGCATAATCGACGTTAGGATAAACTGTCACCATGAACTTGTCCTNTTAAATACAGGTCTAATATTAATATTATAAACTAAAATTAACAAAGATAAACAATGTATTTTACCACACTAAGATAATGGCTCAACTACATAAAAAGAAAAATACAATTGAGCGGGATCAACAACCGCCACCAGCTGCACCAGATGCTCCAGCTGCAGCAGCTGCTGCAGAGTTAATTGCATCAAGAATCACGATAAGGGAAATGATAAATGCATAATCAATGTTCGGGTTCACTGTCACCATGAAATGGTCCTTTCCGATCAAAATGCTTTGAGCCGTGTGCTTTTTATGCATCTGGGCAACAATTGTGGAAGAGTCTCCAGCATAAATAACACAAGATCGTTCTAGCCAACTTCCTTTGACCTTGAAATCGCAAACATTCTCCTTTGTATTGTTTGCTAAGAACACATCTAACTTGGTCTTCAATTGGAACATCGAGGATCTTTTAACTGTAAAGATTAAATCACCGGACTCTGTACTCTCTCCCCTGAAGACTTGCCATCTGTCGTGAGCTGACACTGCCTGCATGAACGAAAACAATCAACTAGTTGAAGAAAAAGAATCAAGATAGTAATTAGCAGGAAAAAAAAAAGATAATATCAATCACAATACCTTGCGTCTTAAAGTGACAATGGGATTCCCAGCGGCGTCGATTAAAACACGGCGATCATGGATGCTCAACAAGGCGCCTTTGACTTTAAAAAGGATGTTGCCATTGATGTCTTGCACAACAAAGTTGCCATCGGTTATGGTCATAACCTTTCTCACGATTGCAAGATCGATGGGATAATTATGAGCACAGAAATGGGGGCTTATAATTGAAACGGGATAAGTTACCGGTGGAGAAGAACCGCTGAAATGTGCCATATTGAAAGAAGTGTGATGAAGTATATCTTTGGTTTGTATTTTGATGAGAAATTCTGAAGGGTAGTTTCTTATATATATATATATATACACAAAATAATGAAAGACCTGTCAAACGCGGATACATGGATATAAACATGAAAGAAGTCAAGAACAAGATGATCGGATTGAAGAATTTTCAAAGAGACGACTTTTCGCAAGTTAGAATTTTACTTTTGAAAATTTTGTACTTCAGTTTTCTAAAGCCTCCATCGTTGACCCAACCAAGCTAGACGAAACCACCCCACCCCAGCCCATTTGGATCCAATACTGTGGTAGGTTGGTTAATGGGTACGATTAAGTTGTGGGTTTATCCACCTAACCTACTTTTAGTATTTATTTTTAATATATATTACCATAACTTGCTTATTCAGAATTATTTTCTAAAACTAAATTTATTATTTTTAAAAATAAATGTGACATTAATAGTTAATTAAAAATAATTAAGAATTAAGTAATGAATGAGGTGATATTGTAGTTGGATTATGGAATGATCGTAGAATACTAGAATAGGTGCTCTCACCTGGTTCAATTTGGTTTTTCGGTTCAATTCGTTTTTGGTTTTTCTTTGCACCCCTAAGTATAACCGATCAACGGAAGAAAATCAAGAGCTGTTAATGGCTTTATTTGGGTTTAATATAACAATAATGCTAGGGACACTGAAAATTTTACACCGAAAATGTGTACCGGCCAACGTGTAACACGCATCTGATTTGTTTAACAATCTTTTTCTAGTGAACGGTCGTCCATCAAATTTAGACGACTGTTCACTCACATGGACGGCCGTCCATATTATATGAATGGGCGTCCATATACAAGGGACGGACGTCCCCATTTAAAGGACACCCGTCCCTGATTAAAATACAATAAATTTTTTTTATAAACATTAGGGACGACCGTTCATAAATTTTGGACGGCCGTCCCTTACGTTTGGACGGGCGTCCATGCTTTAAAAAAAAAAAAAAAAAAATTTCAAAACCTCTTCTACTTCGTTCTTCTTCTTCGTCTTCATTCCCCATCTCCGTCTTCATTCCCCATCTCCTGGGTTCTCATGTTAGTTCTTAGATTACTGCCAGTTTCATTAATTGGCATTCCAACATCACCATATAAATCTAGGTTTCTTGATTCTCTCTCTCTCTCTCTCTCTCTCTCTCTCTCTGTGTGCTGTATGTGCTTAGCTATTCTTGCCATCCTCGCCCATGAAAATGTATTTTAATTTGCATATTGTTCGTATGAATTATTATTATTCGGCTGGGCCACTTGGTGATCTGGAAATTTCTGAAAGGCACATTTAGTGGTGTTTAGAGAACTATCTGGTTCATGTCCTGTGGTATTTGTGAAGGCAAGAGAGATCTTCTTCATGTTTACAGCAAATTAAAATGTATTATATTGTTGCTTATATGGTTGGCCAAGTCTCATTGTTTTCTTTTTTCTTCTGTTCAGGCTGCCTGTGAGGAATTGAGAAATAGCAGAATGTTTCTAAAGCTTCTAGAGGCTGTACTTAAGACTGGGAACCGCATGAATGTTGGGACAAACCGTGGTGATGCTCACGCCTTTAAGCTTGACACACTCCTCAAGCTTGTTGATGTCAAGGGTGCCATGGAATGAAGACGAAGTTGATATTCTTTGTGCAGTGATTTGGCCAAAAAAATGGAATGTAACAATAATGCTCGTTGTTAGTGATTGATTATTGCCAGTTTCAATAAGCAAAAGAAAGGAAAGCAATTAATGCAACTGGCAGTAATCTAAGAACTAACATGAGAATCCAGGAGATGGGAATGAAGACGAAGAAGAAGAGCGAAGTAGAAGAGGTTTAGAATTTTTTTTTTTTTTTTTTTAAAAGCATGGACGAAATGGACGTCCGTCCAAACGTAAAGGACTGGCGTCCATTCTTAATGGACGCTTATCCAAACGTAAGGGACGACCGTCCAAAATTTATGAACGGTCGTCCCTAATGTTTATAAATTTTTTTTATTGTATTTTAATCAGGAACGGGCGTCCTTTAAATGGAGACGCCCGTCCCTTGTATATGGACGCCCGTTCATATAATATGGACGGGCGTCCATGTGAGTGAACGGCCGTCCAAATTTGATGGACGGCTGTTCACTAGAAAAAAATTGTTAAACAAATCAGATGCGTGTTACACGTAGACCGTTACACATTTTCGGTGTATCTAGCATTATTGTTAATATAAAGTTCAACATTGTCTAACATATAAAATCAGTAATATATTTTATTACACTAAAATAAAAACTTGACAATGTACATTTAAGGAAAATACAAATTATTGAGGAGAGAAAATCAAATTATCGTCGTTATCATCATCTACATCTTCTACTTCAACCATTAGACTGAGGCTTTCAGGGAATGAGGATTCATATATCATAGTCTTCATCATCATTATCGTCAGCTACATCTTCTACATCAACCATTTGATGAGGTTTTCAGCTGCATCAACCATTTGACTGACGTTTTCAGCTACATCAACCGTTTGACTGAGGTTTTCAGGGAATGAGGATTCATAATAGTCTTCAGCATCGTCTTCGGAGTTAATTGCATCAAGAATCACAATGAGGGCAATAATGAATGCATAATCCATGTTGGGGTACACTGTCACCATGAAACGCTCCTTCCCAATCAAGATTCTTGGAGCCGTGCGATTCTTATGCAGCTGCATAAACAAGAAGAATTGAATTAAGCTTTAAACATGATCAGTAAAAGATGAGATAGACTGTGCAAAATACAAAGTAAAAAAAAAACTTAATGGAATAAAATATTGAAGTTCTTACTTTGGCAACAATTGTGGAGGACTCTCCGGCATAAATAACAGAAGATATGTCCAGCCAATTTCCTCTGATCCTGAAATTACAAAGACTCTCCTCTGTATTTTTTGCTAAGAACACATTAACGTTGTCCTTTGATTGGAACAATGAGGCTCGTTTAGCACTAAATATTAGAGTCCTAGATTCTATACTCTCTCCCCAGAAAATTTGCCATCTCTTATGAACTGACCTTATCTGTATAAAAGAAAAGAAATTATCTGGTTGAAGATAGTGAATAATTCAAATCCTTACTGATTGTGTAACACCCCGTACTTTTTTGTATGGAATTTTATTAAAGTTTATTTTATGATTCTGGGGTAAAGTGTAAGAATTTGAAAGTTTTGGAAGAGTATACAATAGCTGAAACAAGTGGGGGTTAAAATAAAATTTTTAGATATTTTTATGAACATCGGCCATTCAAAGAAAAGAAAAACGGAGAAGAAGAGGGAAAATAGAAAAAAAAAAAGAGGAAAAAGAGAGAAGAAAAAAGAGAGAAAGAAGAAGAAGAGAAGGAGAGGAAGACGAAAAGAAAGAAGGGAGAGAAAGATGAAACCCAGAATAGAGAGAGAGAGAGAGAGAGAGAGAGAGAGAGAGAGAGAGAGAGAGGGGAGAGAAGAGGGTGGTGGAGGTGGCTAGAAAAGTAGCTGTGGCGAGCAAAACTCCAGTGATCAGAGAGTGAGGAAGATCAAGCATATGGGAGGTGAGTAAAGCTTAAAATTTCCCTTTTTGATGAGTTTTAGTTCATTAGATTTGTGTTGATTATAATTAAGTGTAATGACATAAGATTTCACTAAAATGGAAAGATCGAGTTCAACAATGTTATATGCATAGAACACATATGTGTTTTCTAAACAAAATTTAGTTAAAGATGTGATTTTGATACAAGGGTTCACTGTATAAAAATTTGACCACCTGAAATTTCGAAAATTGTTTGTATGTTTTGGGTTTTTGTTTGAAGCTAAATTTCGGATACATTGTTATAGACTTCTTGAGGAGTGTTTAGAAAATTATTTCACTCAAAAACTCGAAGAACTGAATTTTATACGGATTTTTTAAGTTGTCATGTGAATTTTGGAATTTTCATTTTCTGCAAAACATATATTTTTGGATCATACCCCCCATTCCGTAACCATCAATTTTACCGTCTACAAAAGTGAATTGTGAAGCCATGAGTTTCAAGGGACCAATTCCAAGAAGCACATAGGAATTCTTCAAGCCCGTGTTAGGCTGTTACGTTATATAATAAATGAACCACGTAATAAATGTAATATATATAGTTTAAAAGAGAAATTCTGATAGGATGTATATGTAACTAAAAATAAAAGAAGGGATTAAAATATAATAGTAAAGGAAGAAACGGGGTTTTATGTTTTATGTTCATTTACATCACTCTATTTATGTATGCATGAGATGGTCGATATAATTTTGTGTCAAAATTAGAACGTGGTGGAATCTCCACTCACAACAATATATTCCATATTGTTAATTATATGATTTAAAATTGATTAACTTGGTCATTCTTATTTATCGCTTTCATAAAGAACAGTTGCAATCCTGGAAAACTTCAGAGTTGATCAAATTTGACCAAGTTTACCTATAAAGCAAGCCATGTAATCAAAAGATTCAAAACTAACACAAATATAAGTAGATTAAAATAAATCATTCAATCACTCGAACTAGCTAGGTGTAAATAGTTGATTTCGTTTCTTTTATTTTTTTAAATAATGAAAACAAGATACAGTTGCTAGAGGAAATAAAATCAGAAATCAAGCCCGGCCGCTTAGCTAGCTACCCACCGGCGTCCCCACAGAACTTTGAATCGCATCAAGAGTCACGATAAGTGCAATTATGAATGCATAATCTATGTTCGGATTAACAACCACCATTTTCGTCTCCTTTCTGAAAAAGGCATGGCCTGTGTGCGTCTTGTTAATCTGCATTACCCAAAAAATCAGTTGAACTAATGTGCTTTGTTATAATATTAGCATATTATTTATTACTTTCTATAGACAACAACACATAATTTATTGGTTGCTTCTTCACGTAGAATTTATTGTATAAGAATTCTTACTTGTGCAACAGCTGTGGAGGACTCGCCGGCATAAACAGCAAAAGATCTTTCCAGCCAACCTCCTATGAGCTTGAAATCACAGAAATCCTCTTTTGTGTTGTTAGCTAAGATCACATCTAACTTGAGCTTTAATTGGAACATTGAAGATCGTTTAACACTAAAAATTAGATCACTGGTCTCTTTACTATCTCCCCTAAAAACTTGCCACCTATCATGAGCTGACTTCATCTGCATAAAATGGAAATCTTGTTCAGTTGAAATATTGAAGATGGTGATCAAGTCGAATCAAAAGCAAGAAATTAAAAGATATTATAAAAGATAGATTAATCAAGTACCTTTCGCTGTATAGTGACAATGGGAGTTCCAGCAGCATCATATAATATGCGGCGGTGGTGAAAAACACTAAACGCCACACCTTTCACGTTAAAAAGGATGTTTCCATTGCTGTCTTGTATAACAAACTCATTAACATATTTACCGTCAGTTATGGCCAGAGTGATAGGATGATTGTGAGTGCAATATTGAGGGCCGATAATTGAAATAGGATTACGTACTGGTGGATTAATACTAGTACTGGGGAAATCTGCCATTGAAAGAATGTTGATGAAAACTCCTTCTGTGTGAAGCTTAAATATAGATGATCAAGGGCCAGTCGCCCACGGATACCTATGAGACCAGGGGCGGATCCAAAGTGTATTAAGGGTGGGCCATGGCCCTCAATTTAAAAAAAATAAAAATTAAATACATTATTCTATTTAGTTGGACTTTGGCCCACCCTTTACTGTTATTGTCAAATATTAAAAAATTATGGCCCACTCTCAATTTTAGAACTAAAAGTCTTAGCCCACTCTTCCCTTTAATACTCAAAAACTTGCCCACCACCTTCAAATTTTTAATAAAACGTGTAAAAATAAAATCTTCCTTTGCAGGTGCAATTTGCAGATTATTATTGATAAGAAATACCGGATGGGATAATCTACTTGATGAAGTTTCTCATTTTTGCATTGCTCATAATATAGATGTGCCAAATATGTAAAAGAAATTTGTTGCACGAGGGAGATCACGGCGTAATGTTCAAAAGATGATAAATTTATTTCATTATCGTATTGAGTTGTTCTATGCCATAATAGATTTATAACTATCAGAGCTTAACAGTCGTTTTAATGAAGGTAAAACAAAATTATTTATTTGCATGGCTTCCTTAAATCCAAGTGATTGTTTTCAAGCATTTGATAAGGGAAAATTAGTTCGTTTTGCTCAATTTTATCCACTTGAATTTTCTTCTACTGATCTTATGGCACTTGAACTTTAACTTGATAATTACATTGATGATATGTGCTCAAATAGTGATTTTTTAGAATTAAATGATATTACTAGTCTTGCTCAGAAAATGGTTGAAAAAAAGAAGCATCTTATTTATTCATTGGTATATTTGCTCATCACATTAGCTTTAACCTTACCAGTTGCAATTGCAAGTATAAAAAGGGCATTTTCTGCTATGAAAATTATGAAGACTCATTTACGCAATCGGATGGGAGATCAATTCTTGAATGATAACCTAATTCCATATGTTGAGAAAGATATATTTGACAGTGTTGATAAGGAGATGGTCATGCAATGATTCCTCAATATGAAGCCCTGCCGAGGACAATAGTAAATGTTGTTTTTGTGACAATATTGATTGGAAAAACAGAATATGATACTTGTTTATTTTAACTTGTAAGTACTTCACAGACTATTACACTTTTTTTTTTCTTTTTTAAGATGGAGAATCGAGTATAAGACCGTGCACATATTTATAATTAATAATGCTAGATGTACAAAGAAATTTACAAAGATTTTTTATACAAAGTGATGTGATAGAAAATGATTAGAATAGTTTGTATTCACTCTTCCATTCATCTCCTACCGCATCACTTTGTACAAGAAATCTTCATAAATTTTTTTGTACATCTAATATTATTGATCTACAATATCCTCAATTCGTCATAACCATCTAAACTATTCACAGATGAGTTTGGTTGTTGATGATGTTAGAGTGTGAATCATTTCTAAGTATAATTTAATAATTTTTAAATAATAAAATGGTATTTTAAAAATCTACTGAGTAGAAAAGTGTTATTAAATCAATTATTTAGGTGGAAAAAAGTCGTTTACTCCTCAACCCAAAAGAAAAATACAATGAATTTAGGAAATAAAATAATTAACCGCCAAATTAACCAGGTATGCCAAATACACCAAGTACTAGATCCAGGAATACATGATCATGATCATCATCTTCATCTTCATTGGAAACTCCGGAGTAAATTGCATCAAGAATCACAATAAGAGAAACTATGAATGCATAATCCACGTTAAGGTTCACTCTCAGCATGAAACTCCCCTTTCCATTCAACAGATTTTGAGCGATTTGCTTCATATGCAACTGCATTTCCCAAAAGCAGTAAAATTGGTTGCTGTTCAACAGAAAACTTGGGTTAGGAATCAAGGTATTAAATTTCTTTACCTGTGCAACAACTATGGAGGACTCTCCAGCATAAATAACAGTAGAACGTTCCAGCCCATTTCCTCTAACTTGAAATCACAAACATTTTCCTCAGTGTGGTTCGCTAAGAACACAGTTAACTTAGGTTTTGTAATTGATTGCAACATTGAGGATCGTTTAACACTAAATATTAGATTTCTGGACCCTGCACTATCTCCCCTGAAAACTTGCCATCTTTCATGAGCTGTTCTTATATGTATAAACCAAAATAAATCAACTATTGCAGAAAACAGTGATGAAGTGAAGTGAAATTCGTACAGGCAGATACAAAAAATAGTGATACAAGATCTGTTAGATATAAAAGTATAGGCTGTCCCTGTTTTGCTAAGCGGTGTCGTTTTCATCAAAGTGACAGTAGGATGGTGTGACGTCGTTTTGTAAAGACAATGGGTAGATAAAGTGAGTCTTCAGTACTTACTAAACTTAACGAAAATTAGCTGAATGAAGAACTGAAATTCTCTCTAAATTTCATCCTCTATTCGTGAACCCTAACCTCCTTTCATGGTATCAGAGCACCATTGACTAACGTAAAAAAAAAATGGCAGGAAACTCTGATAGTTCAAGATCTGATGATTTTGAGAAGATTGCTCAACAGTCATCCAGCTCGCCAGTATCTGCAACTTCTGCAATTTCATCAAGTCTTCAGGTCATCACTCCAAAGCTCACCAAAGACAACTATAGATTCTGGCGTTCTCAAGTGTTATTCGCTGTAGGAGCTCATGAGTTGGAAGATCACTTAACAGGCCTGCTTCCATGTCCATCTCCTCTAATTTCTTGCAAAATAGACAATTCGAAAGATAAGAACACAGATCAAATTAGTGATTGTTTGATAATTGAGAAAATTAATCCAGCTTATTCCTTGTGGAAAAGAACTGACAAGTTCTTAGTTAGCTGGCTTCTTGCTTCAATTTCGGAAGGAATGTTTAGAACAATTTCGAAGNAAAAAAAAAAAAAAAAAAAAAAAAGTTATGAGCATGCAATTTTAGTATGATGTGAATTTTTTTTAATGGATTATATAATCAATGTGTTTAATAGACAAGGCATATGAATTTGATAATACAACCCTGTGGTGAGGCAAGTGACTAGTAAAAATAGTGATTCAGGGCATGTTAGATGCGGTTATTATATTTACTATAATGCTACGGACACCGGGATACTTACACAGAAATCTTGAACCGGCCTACGTGTCCCCTAACTCACACCAAACACGTTTGACGTTATTAAATTTTTTTCTAGTGAACGGTCATTCATCAAATATGGACGGCCGTTCAATTACATGGACTCCCGTCCATATTATATGGACAGGGGTCCATTTACTACGGACGGGCGTCCCCATTTAAAGGACACCCGTCCATCAGTAAATGTAATAAAAAATATAAACAAAAATTAGGGACGGTCGTTCATAGGTTATGGAAGACCGTCCATAAATATTGGATGGGCATTCATATGTTAATGGATGCTTGTCCATTAACAATCGTTTTTAAAAATTAAAAAACATTTAGGGACGGCCGTTCATCAATTATGGACGACCGTCCCTTAATTTTGGATGGGCGCTCGCAAATAAGGGACGCCCATCCATAATGTAAATATAAAATTAAAAAAAAAAACTTTGGACACCCATCCATAACTTGTGGAAGTGCGTCCCTAACGTGTGGATGGACATCTGTAAGGAATGGACGCCCGTCCATAATGTGGTTTTAAAAAAATTTAATAAAAACTTTGGACGCCCATCCATAAATGGTGGATGGGCGTCCCTTACATGTGGACGGGCGTCCGTAAGTAATGGACGCCCATCCATTATATTGTTTTAAAAAATTTAATAAAAATTTTTGACGCCCGTCCATAAATTGTGGACGGGCTTTCGTAAGGAATGAGCACCCGTCCATCATGTATGACCAAGCGTCCGTAAGGAATGGACGCCCGTCCATTATGTAAGGACAGCCACCCGTAAGTAATGGACGCCCGTCCATAAAGAATGGACGACCATCCTTTAGTTTTGGACGGGCATACGTACTGTAATTAAAATTTAAAAGAAAAAGTAACAACGTATTAGGTTAAAAAAATTTGGGGGAAGTTTTTAAAATTAAAACACAACAGCCGTGGTCTTCTTCTTCGTCTTCCATCTGCGCTTTTGCTCTTCGTCTTCCTCATCTGCGCTCTTGTTCTTCGTCTTCCTTATCTGCCATTGGTAATTAGACACTTTCGTTTTTCAAATTTTTTTTTTTATGTTGGATGAATGTGTTGGATTCTACATTTGTGTTGAATGGATTGAGTTGATAAAGAGAAATCCAGTCAATTTGGTGGGATTGATTTGTGTGATTGATAAATAGAAGTGTTCTGCTATTGGTAATACTTCGAATGCTCTGTCTTATGCCTCATTCTAGTTTATTTTAAATGCTGAGAATTTAAGAATTACAATGAAAGGAAAATTGATATATACATTGCTAATTTAAACTATTTTTGATTTACCAAGTGTTGGATCTGTAGTTCTTTTACGCTAGGATGAATGTTTTGTGATGAGACCATCAGATATGTGGTATACAATAAGAAATCCAAGGGAGGCAAGTAGGAGACTTTGAGTTGTAAAAAGAAGATTCCGGTGAGTAAGGTGTTAAAAGCTAAGTGAGGTGTTAAGAATCAATTATTGGGTGGCCAGATGGCAGTAAGGGATGGGATAAGGGAAGAATTCTATTAGGAGGAAAAGAGAATTAAAAGGGAGGCAAAAGAGAGGCAGGGGTATCAGAAAAATATATGGGAAATGGATGTCAAGGTTGTATATAATGCTCAATGGATGGGTTTGTTATTACTCTAGGCAGCTTATGTTTTGGTTCTTTTAAAGCTTATTGAAAGCTAGTTCATTGCTGAACTGGTAGTTATTTCTGACAATTGAGGATATTGCATGTGCCCTGAAAAGTTTTCATCTTTTTCTAATTTGTTACTTCATCTTTCTAGGCTATTGACTTGAATATTGCACGAAACTGAATAAAGCAGGTTTATTGACATTATCATCTAGATAATGATGGTGAGGCCTCAAGTAATGGTCAG